TTTCGTCTTTGGCCTGTCCATTGGCTAGCATATTCGAGCCCAAATAGCGGAATTAGCTAACTTCTTCGATGGGTTCATCACTGACAAAAAGTGGTTGGGCTGTGCCCAGATACGTAGTCAGGAGCTTCGTCTTCCGTATATTAATCGTCAGACCAACAGTTGCAGCGAAGCTGGTGATTCAGCCGAGGGTTGGCTGTAGTGACTGAGGGATTTTATGAAGTACGACAATGTCATCGGCATATTCCAGGTCAGGTACTCTGAATTCAGGGCTGATTTCACATCCACGGTCACGTAGAATTGATTGATGCATCACCCGGGCGATCAAGAAGTTGAAGAGAACTGGGGAAGGAGGGCACCCTTGTCGAACTCCACAAGTCAGAGGAAAATAATTTGACTCTTCACTAAGGGTTCTTACTCGGGCTGATGTTGTTAAGGCTTTGATCAGATTGAACAAATTTATTGGGAGACCGTCAGCAAACAGATTTGTTATAAGGCGTCTTTGTCGATGGAATTAAAGGCAGTCTTGAAGTCAATGAAACAGGCGGCGGTGACCTGTTGATTTTTGTGTTTCAGTATGCGGTGTACAATGAAGATCTGGTCAATATATCTTCTACCTGGACGAAATCCTCCTTGTTTAGGACGAGTGCGAAGATTGCGCTCAGTCCAAAATCTACGGAGAAGGATGGTCGCAAACACTTTGGCAGCTATATCTATGAGGCTGATGCCGCGGTAATTCGAGTATATTGTCATGTTACCACGCTTCGGTATTGGTAAGAAATGGACAGCGATCAGTCGGTGAGGATGACTTCGGTAGTCCATTTGGTCAAGTACAGTCGATGAAGTGATTCCGTCAAAACAGAACAACCAGTTTTGTAGGCTTCTGCTGGGATACCATCTTCACCCGCTGCCTTCTGACCTTTCAGTCGTTGCAATACCGATTCCAGTTCAGCTCTCGTAGGTGGCTCGCAGTCTATATCGTATGGAATTACAGTATAGGCGGATCCGGTAGCTTACTGAAGTGCTCTCGCCATCGATCGATTCTGCCAGCCATATCAGTTATCACTTACCCGAGTTATCCCGAACGGTAGTGCAAGGCGGCTTATATTTGCCAGCTGCTTTACGTAAAAGGTAATAGAGCTGGTGTAAGTTACCAGACTTTGAAGCTGATTCCGTGCAGCCAGCTTACTCGGTCCAATGGTTCTGACGGTCGCATCTTGCTGATCGCGTAGATTGACGTCTCGATGACCAGTAGTCCTCTGAGTTTGACAACTGAGCGATCCTAGCTTGTGCCAAGAGATGGAAGCTCGTTGTGGAGATGCAGTCGTTCCTCGGTACTACCTGTTTTTGCAAGCTTGAGTTCGTCGCACTTTGTAGCGCGTCTCTCAAGTGTGGCCACTGAGTATCGGACGAAATTTGATTATCGATGTTATCTGGAGGTTCGATATGAACAGTGGATTGATCTCTGATCCGTGCAGTGAGACTTTCATTGAACGCTACACAGGTTTCTGTGTTTGATAGTGCCATAATGTTGACACGTTTTAGGGGCAGTTTCTTACTTCGATTCGACAAACGGAGCTTAGAGCGGGCACGGACAATTACATGATCTGACCCAACTTCCGCACCTCGAAACAATCGGCTATCGGATACTGAGGTGACCCACCTTGAGCGTACTAAAACGTAGTCTATCTGGTTTGCCGTTCGACCATCGTTTGAATACCATGTCAGCAAC